GAATGAAGGCCAACACCAGCTAAAGAACTGGCAGCTGTGATTTCACATTGTTGTGTATATAGAATAATAATAATTCATTACAAATCTATCCAGCTATTAAATGAAGAGGCCTGTCAGAGCTCATTTATTTTACTTATGAGAGAGGGCCATCTCATGAATCACTCTCAAGCTATAGAATATACACCCTTCGGTGCTGCATCCCCCTCTCCCACCCCACTGCCTTTACAAGAGCAGGCAAAGTACATCTTTTTTTGCCAAGCTTTTTACTGTTCATTTGAATTATTTTTTTCCAAAACTGTATATATTGTATTTTTATTTTAGCTGTCCTCCCTATTGAACTGAGTAAAAAAAAAACATAACTTTACTAAATAATAATTAAATATTTGGATATGAGGATGCATCTCTTTGGTACTACCGCTGCCATATTCATTAAACTCCAAAGCTAAAAATCCAAATTAATTAAAAGTTTGTCTTAAGACTCTGTGAAACTATTTATCCAATTGTAAACTCTAACAACAAATATGTCTGTAGTTATTTCAAAATCTTACCTTCATGAACAGAAGAAGTAATCTCTACCTTGAATTGAAGACAGCCACTCACATGGTCTGCTGGTAGCCTTCTACCAAGGTTATAGTTGAGAACCTGGTCTCTGCAAAAGGGAATCATGTATGAATATTTCTACTATGCTTTCTGTAACTTTCAGTATGTTGTAACTAGAGATGAGCCAAAATGGGGACATTCCCATACATGTCATATGCCAACAATCCATCATCGCATTTGTTGGATTTGAGAGGAAAGGAGCACACAAGAACACAAAGCTGATAGCGAAGAGACTATATTATATGACTAAGATGATATTCTTATTTTTCAGGATTAAAATTCCTGGTGCAGTGCAGCAAAAAAGATACTCTGATCAAATAGAGGGCAATGTCACCGAAGCAGACTAATATGCACTTATCACTAGAAATGCTGGTGGCATTTGCAGAATTTGCCCTCAGAAACAATTATCATATTGTTTTCATAATGTCTACCTCAGGAAAAGAAAACTGATCTATACATTTCACAGAAATTTTCTCAAAATCAGATAAAATATTCTCTGCAGTTTTCCCACTGCCTCCTTCCTAAGGCTGAGAGAGAGGGGCTGGCCCAAAGTCGCCCAGCCGGCTTTCATGCCTAAGGCGGGCCTAGAACTCCTGGTCTCCCAGTTTCCTGCCTGATGCCTTAACCACTACACCAAACTGGCTATCTTAATAGTATAATGCTATGATAAAAAGTACAACATGCCCTTATGTAGACCCAGCTTCCAATAATTAGACAGACACATTCATGCACTTCCCTTGGCATCAGTTCTGGAAGCGTCTTGCCTTCTTCCAGTTGTTATCCTTGTTTTTAATTTCCCAATCTAGGCTACAGTTGCCAATGATGTCAAATCCTACTATTAATTAGGTCTGACCCTACTTAGCTTTTGAGCAAAGACAGGTATGGCCAAAGGCTGGTACCTGCTGATCATACCATATATTTTGTGATACTTGATTGGTTAGATACATATTTGGTAGGAAAATCTTTGTTGAAAGATCAAGTGCAAAATAAAGGTAAATGAGAGTGACAGACATAAAAAGATAAAACTGATTAAAATAATTTGGTGTTTGTATCCAGCACCCCAAATACATTCTTATGTGAAACAGGTTTACCCACTGAAAATTTCATGAAGCATTAGCTTAAACTCTCCAGGTTCTTACAACACAGAGAGGGAAAAATGCCTGCAACTACAATCATGGAGATCACAATAAATGAATGAATAACTGAATCTACTATGCATTTTAAAAAAAAAAATTAATCAGAAACAAAAAGGTTGCATAATTAAAAGTTTCACCATCTTGTATAAACATCCCCCCCATGACTCTAATCAAGATATTTATCATTTCCTCATCTAAGCATCACACATAATTTTATTTTGGATGTAGAATTT